CGCCTGCCTCTGCCTCCTGAGTGCTGGGATTAAAGGCGTGCGCCACCATCGCCTGGCAAAATTTAAAAATTATTGAAAAAAAAAAAAAGAAACAGGCATGAAGACACAAGTGTACTGGGAGTCTTTGTTCTATTTTGTGTTTTGTTTGCTGTTGTTGTTGTTGGTGGTGGTGGTGTGTGTGTGTGTGTGTGTATAAAGAATGGCATTTTAAACCGGGCCAGCACTTAACAGTTACATGTTCAAAGTACAACAAACCAGAACTGTTGGGCACACAAAAGAACAAACTAATAATTCCATTTCTTAACTAAGAATTTCCTAATGGGACCAGAGAGATGGCTCAGCAGTTAAAAGCACTTGAAGCCCTTGCAAAAGTGGGTTCACTTCCCAGCACCCACATCAGGTGACTCACAACTACCTACAACTCCAGCTCCAGGGAGGGACCTGACACCTTCTAGTTTCCACAGGCACCTCCAGTCATACACACACACACAAGTGCACGCACACACATGCACATGCACACACGCACACACACACACATAAGAATAAAATAAATCTACAAAAATAATTCTTTCTCTACAGAAACACACATGTTCAACTAAGCGCATTTGTGGAATGCAGCCTTGAACAACTCAAGGCACTCCAATGGCGGACCTGCCGGACTCAGCCACATAGCACGCAGCCCTTACCACTACATCCCATCTCCTGAAACAGCATCCAAGATGCGTTGATAAAAGTGAAAAACAAATTACAATAAAACAAAAATATATACATCTGCTTTTCAATAATATTCAAAACAATGAGTAGACTTTTCCAGAGATATTCTATAAAAACTAAAAGGAAAGTTCGGGAAGTTCTCAAGCAGATGTACCAACCTCGTCATAAATATTGTCCCCTGTGTGGCCTGAAGGACCAGAGCTTGGGGATGAAGGAGTGAGAACAGGAATGTGCCCTTCTTTTCTATAGTTGTTCAGAGTGATATATGCAGATATTATCTTTTTGAATGAAAGTGCTGTCTTGGAAGCCAAGCGTGGTGGTTTGTCCATTACAATTCAGCTGTCAAGAGACTGAGGCAGGAGAATTGCCCATAGTTGGAGGCCATCTGGGGAGCATGGTAAATATCAGGCTATCCTTAACTACTACAGCTACTAAAGTGTGAGATTCAGCCTTGCAAAACACGGAAGGGGAGGTGAAGGGAGGGAGGAGAGAGAACGTGAAAACAGAAAGAAATGCTGCCTGGATGTGTTCCTGTCTTAAAGGCTGTAGTCCAGGGCAGGAAGCAGCACCAGCCTCTGAATGTTCTTCAAAGAAGTGAGTTTCAGGACAGCTAAGACCATTATACGGAGAGACCTTATCTGGGGAAGTGAGGAAGGATGAGAAAGACCGACAGTTTTTCACTCTTCGGAGAAAAAAAACAAAGCTCAACTTCTCTTACAGAAAAGCAAACCACAAGCACAATGAGAAGCCAGTTTTCAACCATCGAACTGGCCACGTGACGGGGGTGGAAATTAAAAACGTAGGTGGGTAATTTCGCCATCAACACTGTTCCTGAAAACACCTCGCAGAGGAAGGGTAGAAAAGAATAAAAATAAAATTAAAATCTTTTAAATCTTGTCATTTTGAATTAATTCTCTGGCCATATTTGGCATTTTATACTGAAATGTATTCACATTTCTACACAACTATGTGGGCATAAGTAAATCTGAAAAGTTTGTCACATCATGTGTATATTCTATTACTGCTGTAATAATACATATATTTGCACCATATAATATATAAGAACATTTAATGTTTACATACGCACGACTGACAATATTTAAATGTAAGCAAACATTAAGACACACACGTGTTCCGAAGCTTCCCTAGCAGCACACACTTAACACATTTTACTAGTAGCCTCTGAAGACACGATTGCCACAGCCTTCACTTTACTGTCGCACTAGGTCACAACTGGATCGCCTCGCCAGATGTGGGAGCAGATTCATGTGTTGCTCAAGGGCTTCAACAGCACACACCTTAAAAATCTGAAATTTTCGTAACACCAGCCAGCCTATTCCGGCTGCCTGGTGAGCGCCAAGCCAGCAAAGACCCAAGATAACACATGAAGAACACACACACACACACGCATACCCACAAACACACACACACACACACACACACACACACACACACAGGCATACCCACAAACATGCACACATACTCAGAAAAAAAATACTATCTTATTCTAATTACTATTGGATGCAACAGAGAAAGACAAATAATCACATTTTCAAATAATCGGTATTTCCAGAAATATTAAAAGTTTAGCAAACACCAGACTACGTTAGAGTAAGGCTCTCCGCGGCTCTGCCTAAACCTCACAGGCCTGCCTGTCGACTGCGATCCTTGAAAGGCTCCTCCGGGGTGGTTTAGAGAACTACCTCCAAGACGGGGTGGGGGTGGGGGACATGAAATGAAACTTGCTAGAACTTTCCAGGGATAAAAGTTTACCTGTCTTCCAAAGCTTCTCTCAAGCCAAGTCTTACTGTTAGTGCCGCCTCTGCCTTGGGGCAAGGCTGCTGCCATAAAGGGGGTGGGGTCTCTAACTAGG